ACGGTGGACGTGAAGTTGGATATGAGTCAACAGTGTGCCTTGTTGCCAAGAAGGCCAACGGCTTATTGGGCTGCATTAGTAGGAGCATTGCCATTGATCGAGGGAAGTGATTATTCCCCTCTATTCGGCACTGGTGAGGCCACATCTGGAGTATTGCGTCCAGTTTTGGGGCCCCCACTACAGAAAGGATGTGGACAAATTGGAGAGAGTCCAGCAGAGGGCAAGGAAAATGATTAGGGGGCTGGGGCACATGACTTACGAGGAGAGGCTGAGGGAACTGCGATTGTTTAGTCTGTAGAAGAGAAGAATGAGGGAGGATTTGATAGCATCCTTCAACTACCTGAAGGGGGGTTCCAAAGAGGATGGAGCTCGGCTGTTCTCAGTGGCGGCAGATGACAGAACAAGGAGCAATGGTCTCAAGTTGCAGTGGGGGAGGTCTAGGCTGGATATTAGGAAAAACTATTTCACTAGGAGGGTGGTGAAGCAGTGGAATGGGTTACCTAGGGAGGTGGTGGAATCTCCATCCTTAGAGGTTTTTAAGGCCCGGCTTGACAAAGCCCTGGCTGGGATGATTTAGTTGGGAATTGGTCCTGCTTTGAGCAGGGGGTTGGACTAGATGACCTCCTGAGGTCCCTTCCAACCCTGATATTCTATGATTTTAAACTAAGGGAACAGGTTTGTAGCCTGGGAGCTTTACAACACAACTCTCCTACAGCTGGTCACAAGGTGTTCCGAGTTCTACCTGAAAAGTGACTATAAAATAGATGTGCCAAACCCACGGAAAAAAATGCAGAAATTGGGCTTGTTTTTGGTTTAATTGGCTTGTGTGTTGCTTGTTGGCTAGTTTTTGGCTTGTTGCTTGTTTGGCTTGTAGCTTCTTTTTTTTGATGGGCTCCCAGCAAGCAGGGGCAAGAGAGGAGAGAGTCAGGGGTGCCCAACAGGCCCACCATAGTCCCAGACTGCATGCTGGGGGATCTAGTCACATAGGGTGTTGGGGTTCTTAGGGACTGGCTTGTTTTGGCCTTGTTTTGAAATGGGATTAGCTTGATTTTTAGCTTATTGTGAAAGTCAGGGTGCTTATTTACCGCGTGAAAGTTGGTAACTGTGCTATAAAACAGGCATGAGAGGGCTGCAAGCTTATCTAAGGCTGCACATCAAATATGCTCATTTTACAAATATTTTTTTCCCTAACTGCCAGCCCTGCAGCCCCTCCCCCCAATCTGAGAGTCCTTTTCTTGTGTATTCCCCAGCATTAAAAGTTTCTGCAGCCTGCATGCTCTCAGTGACGACTGTGTACAGATTAAGCCCCCTGTGCACGCCTGTCAGTGAGTTTGCGCAGGTATAACTCATTGGTCTTTAATTGACTTTGAGAAGAGTTCTGATGATGATGCAGAGGAAGGAAGATAATTCAGCTCCTGCTCCCATAGCTTAGTGGGTCTGCAGGGCTCACAAGAATGACCAAGTAATACACACTGGCTGGAGGTTCCACAGGGGCCTAGAGGAATTAGGCACCCACATCCTATTGGCTTTCAAAGCTGCGCACCTAACTGGCGTAAACCTGTTTGAAACCCCAGCTACATATTTTTGTGCTAAAGGCAGGAGATCTGACTCAGGGAGTGGATCTGTCCGGTAGGAAGGGGCCACGTCAGAGAAGTGCTGCATGTCACGCCAAAGAGCCCAGCACTTCATATGAACTGAAAGACTTTACAGTCATTTCTAGCGGCCCGGCTTTGCTGGTCAAGGAGACTGGACACCAGTGACGTGAAGAGGGGCCAGGACTCTGCCAATTTCTTGGCACCCGTGGAAGCTGCTGCCCAGTTGTTGGCGGAGGACTAGAGAGCACAAGGGCCTGAGACAGAGACAAGTTCAGACTCCTTTGTTTGTCTGTCCCAGAATAAAGTGAATACCTCATTTGTTCAGGTTTGATCCCCATAGTATTATACCCAGTAGGTCAGTAACAACTAGCTCTCTCTCCAATTCACTATAGCCCTCTGCATAGGAGTGTGTGGGATTTCTCACATCATTCCATTCCCTTTTCATACACTGGTCCAGAGAGCTGTACCAGCTGCTTCAGGGGAAGGTTAAACCCCTGTGATGGATAATTTGCAACATGCCCAAAGAGGACGTTTCTCCTTACCCCTGGCAGGTAGTGGCTGGCTTATCTCCCAAGCAGGAGGGTTTCTATCCTTTAGCTGTTCAATTCTAGTTACTGTAACTGTGAAGGATGTTTCTATTATTCTGAAGCAGCATGGCAGATTCTCAGATCTGGCACAACATGTAGGGCTCTTCTTCGGCTATCATGCTGTCAGGTTATTGAACCTTACATAGAGATGCTGAGATATTTATGAGGAGTCTCTCCAGGTGTGTACCTTTAGCTCCGATCTCGGAGAATAAGAGGGGCTGTATACCACTCTGAGGGAACTACCGGGTGGGGCAGAAAGAAGTTCCTGCAGGAAAAGCTCTACAAACAGTCAAACTAGGGGCAACTGTCTAGGCTGAGGGTTATGCTTTGTTGCTGCCGTTTTAAGTTACTAACAGAAGGAAGCCTCAGGAAGAGGATACAATTGAGTCCTCCCAAATGTGTATAGAATTTGATCAGAGCAAGGTGGGATAGCGACATGCTCCCCCATTTGTCAGTTGAGGCCCTGATCCAGTGGGACAGCTTATAATGAGCTCTGAGACAGCCTCCAGGTACAACAAAGTTACCACATTCAGTATCACTGAGATGTGTAATGTGCAAAGTACCATTATATATATAATCCTCTGAAACCTCCAAATAGAGCTGCTCTGTGAAAAATGGCTTGGCTTCAGCGAGACTTGACTTGTATACCCACAAACAACTAGGCCTACTTTACCTCAGGCTCCCCACAGCAACATTAGTCAGATCCCCTATGTCTGGATCTTTGTCTCCAATTTTAAAGGCATTTGAGTCGTAGACCCACTTATCACAATTCAAACAGACTGTAGGATGGCACAAACCTTGGGGTGATGCTGAGGAAAACACGGAGTAATTGAATACTTTACAGACTGAGCCTGCTAAATAGATAATTACTTTAATCACAGTTAATTCAACTTCTGCCCTGCCCTGGGGATCGTAAATGCCAGCAGGAGGGAGTGAGCACACTTACCACTAGAGTTTTGGGAGCTGCTGTTTGTTTCTTCAAAGTTGTTTTGCACTTTGCCTTCCACTCTCCTACTGAATGCGCTTTCTGCTGGGTGGAGAACAAAGGGTGATGGTGAGTGATCAGTACTGGACCCAGGATTGCTCAGCGGGGAGGCAGAGGTCATGCTCCTGTGCCATGTAATCTCAGACCCTGAAGAGAGCAGAAAGGTCTAATCCCCCATCTCTGAGGCAAAGGGCCAGATTCACTGAAGGGGTAACAGGCAGATATTTTTCACATTGCCTTCTGGCAGAGGAGGCCTGGATGGAACTCCTACGGAGCCCGTGAACACCACTTCTGACTGGACCAAAGGGACTGTAGTAGAGTGATGTGAAGCATTCCCTTTTATCTTTCCCCTCCCAAGGGAATGAGCAGCTCTCACAGCCTATGGTACAGGTGACCAGGCCTGGGGATGAACCGAGGCTCTCACCATGGCAGTATAGAGAATCCACCATTAAGCCGCTATGCCTGGTCTCTTTTTGCATTGTAATGAATAACTGGCATTCTCATCTTAAGCTTCTCCCCAACAATCTGCACAGCAGTCTCCCCAATGGAGGAGTGAAGGATTATTTGGAAGCCCATCAGTAATGATTCATGAGAGCACCTTAGGGGGTAACTAGAAACAATGCAAGGTGTCCCTTCCCTCTGTACCCATAAAGTGAGCACAGTCACTGCACAAGGAGACCACCCCCCAGGGACCCAGGCTCGGATTCCCTGCAATGCGCTGCCAGCTCTAGCGGCAATCCCCAAAGGAGCTCAGCACATACTATAGGAGAGAACTAGCTCTAACAGCACGTGACGATATCCTGCAGCAACGGCCATGAACCCTGCAGTGTCCTGGAGCCTTAATGTACAGCAGAACCTTGCTAATTCACACATCCCATAACCTGCAGTCTCTGAGCACAGACTGAACAGTGAGGTCTCATCTCATGCATACGTCTTTGCTTTTACAATAGTGTCGCAGTAAATACACTGCCCTAGATATGAAGGATCAATCATAAATATTTAAAACTAAACTACACTTGCCAAATCAATGAGCACCGTCACTGCCTGGATGCATGATTCTGGCTTTGTATTTAGTTTATGTCCTAATGCACAGAATTCGCAGCTCTCAACGGGTCTATTTTCAGTGTGAACTAATGAGGCTCTGCTGTATTTTCTTCAGGGGGTGGAATGGATTTTGTGGGCAGAGAAGTTGCAGGGTGAAGTGAGGAAAGAGACCTGAAATTCAGGGGTGACAGGGTCAGAAAATTCCCTTTAATATTGATATTAGATCCTTGGAAAGTTGAGGCATCAGAATTAACCCCTGAGATTTTCATAAACAGACTCTGGCTAGCAGACGCGTCATCCCGTTCTTTTGCTGAACTGTGGCTGCGGCTAAGGACCTGCTCTTTGATTCCAGCCACACCTGGATTGCATGTGGCTGCTGGTCCACGAATAGGGGCCACTCAATTCCCTAGCTTGGGGTCAGACAGCTATTGACTGGCTATGCTGTTACAGTGTTGAATTGGTGTGAAGCCCCTGATGCTCTCAATCCGCTCTGCTCCCGATTTTTTAAAATAAAGGAGAGCAGGACAATGTTGTTTTCTAACCAATTCAGTAGTTAAGTAATTATTACTAGCACTAGTTGTTAAACTCCACCGATCAATAAAGAAGTGTTAGGAATGCCAGCGCTTTGCCAGGTGGCGCAGTGGGACGAAGAGACTGTATGATACAATGAGGTAACCTTTTAGAGGTAGAGACCCAGGTTCAAATCCTGGCTTATGTCACAAATGAAAATGAACTGGAGGCCTCTGGAGATGTATGAAAAAAATATAGTTCCCGTGGTTTGGGTTTCCGCTCTCTCTTTTTGTTTTTTCAGACTGACAACAAGAGAAACAAGCTGGTCCAATATTTTTCCTTGGACTCTTTGGGGTATTCCCACTTTAGCAAACCTTTGTATCCAAAGCAAAAAGCCAACCAAATCTCGAACCCGGAGACAACATCAGGAAACTACACAGGTCCCATGGGTCGGTGTCTGTGGAAAACTCCACCCTTCTGGAGGTTCTGCAAGGATCATAGAGGGTTTCCACTATGCTCTGGGTCCCACCCTGACCCATTTGGGAAGGTCTTTGACTAACTGGGGCATTAGAAAGGTGTTGCCTCAGGACAGGATCTACCTGGACAGAGTTTTCGGCCAATGTACTTGTGCTAGGAGTCCCAGCAGCCACTAAAATTCTCTTAGGACAAGACACTGGCTGGAAATACACCATGCACCATTCCACTGAAGCAACCAACTGGACAAGGTAAACCCTGGGTTTTAAATGATTTTCTCCAGGTTCAATTTGCAAGGCTCAGGCTTCATGTAATATCTCCCCCCCAAAAGGGAGAAAAGGACTTGTCCTGTTTACCCAATTCATTGACACATTTTTTGAATAGAAAAGGGAAAAATCTCTTTCCAAAAAAATCTCCCAGTTTTTGCCCTGATGAGTCTGGCCTCTGACGATTAAGGCCCCTAATTAGGTTCCTTTTGCTTTTGTAATAAACGTGAAAACTGGACGAAGTTGTCACAAGTTTAGATAAAGAACAAAAAGTCTCCTCCACTCGGACTCCTAAACTATATGAAATGGACAGACCTCAGTTAGTAACAAAATCAATGAAATGTATACGGACTGCCATAACAATAAGGAATGTCAGGACCCATAAGCGACTGTTGTTGTCAGAAGACAGGTCACTCCTTGCAATTTTGAGGTAGGGGCAGATGTGTGTGTCACTAACAAAAATAACCTAAGCATTGTTCTTGTTTAAAATGCTGGAAAGCAGAGGTCTCTCTCACACAGCTCATCCTAGGCATCTGCCCATGCCAGACATTTCAGGGATGATTTAAACAGACATCTGCCTGACTCAGATATAAGAAGCTGGTTAACTAGCCATACTCCAGTATTACAACGTAGAAGGCCAGTTATCCAGACATCTGCCAGTTCCCGAGATTTAAGAGAATGCTTCACTATCCTATGGAAATGTGAACCCTACATCTCAGATCTTTCTTTTTTAAATTCTAATCACGACGTTTCTTATTTCCCATCTTATTTAGAACAGGGGGGCAGGAAAGAAGGAGACAGATATTCAAACTTGATTCTTCTTACGTGCCTGCTAATCTCGCTGCTGGAGCCCCTTGGTTCCCTTGGTGAATGAAGCACCGTTAGAACGTGTGTACGGCTTCCCACTCAACTAAGCAGCAAGCCCCGAAAGCAACAGCTTGAGGCTAAAAAACCTGACAACCCACTAAGCAAACCTCACTCAGGAAGCTCTCCTCAGTTTGTGATACCAGGATTTGAACCAGGGTCTAAGTTTGATGCTTTTTAATAAGGTTTAATTTAAATGATAAATCTGGCACAATTGGGGATGGGAGGAGCTAGGTGATTGCTGATTTTAATGATCATTTGTATAGTGCCATCATCTTAGCTCCTTCCTGTGATTGCTTCTCTGGGACAGCCTTGATGGCAGTGGATTTTGAGTCCAGTGAAGGGCAAAAGGCAACCCAGGGCAGGAGTGGGCGCTAAGCAGGGAAGAAAGTCAATGGTGTAAAGGCAATTGGTACCTGTCGTGGCCTTGCTTCCTGGGGATCCAGAATTTGGAGCGCGGAACATCTGGGATTGGGATGCCGGTGGGATACCGGACGGGGAGCGGTGCAGGAGGGTGGAACATCGGATTATGGAGGCCGGTGTTTTTTTGCCGGATTGGCTCGCCTGTGTCTTCACTGCCACGAAGAGTGGAGATCGAGAGAACTCTGGATATGAAGACTCAGAACTAGTGCCAGGATAGTCAGTCAGCTCCCAGAATCTGTGCCATCTGGGAGGATAGCTTTCCAATAGTCATGCTTGTGATTCCCTTATAAGGGACCTGCAGCAATTGTGGATCCACTGAATCCCATACAACATAAACGGATTTCCCCACTCACCCAAAGGGACAGATTCTTCAAGCATATTGATTTTACTGTATACCTTTAGCTGCTGCTTGACCAATCCAAAACGGCCAGGAATCCCACTACTTCCCCTCCCGCACCGCCAGACACACCCAGGACATCCAGAGGGTCTATTTGTTTGAACAGGGACACGCTGTGAACAGGGATGGGGGGTAGCTGCATGTTTATGCTTCACCTCTGAGTTAAACAGTTTCTGGGCAAAGCTGGCTTCTAATTTGCTTCTTTGATCATGAAATCTAGAGGAATTTACATTCTTGCTCCCTGAGCCTTAAATGCCTCCAAGATTTTGGAGATCTGTGTCTGCCTCATTTTTCCCTCCAATTCGGCTGACTTTTTTTAAAAGGTATGGGAGTGGGGAGGAAGGTGAGCCATGAGTCAGATTTTCCATTCTATGAGTCAGGAGGGGTCCTTTGGATGCCATCTCACGTCAAAAGAGCTGGCGAGATGTAGCCTAGTTCTGTGCATTACTGGGGCTACGTTCTCAGAGTGTTACCTGACGTACAGGGAACCTCTTTGGTACCTGCAGTGAGTGGGGAGGATCACCAGTAATTCTTAATGCCTAAACCTTGGGAAAGTCCTTTGGCACAGGAGTCCCTATCCAGACACAAAAGTTTTTTTTTTTAAATACTGAAGGATGGGGCAACTTGATAATCGCCCCAATTTCTCAGCAACTCTTTTCAATTGAGGTCTGGACATGGCTCCTGTAGCCAAACATCACTGTGCCAAGCATCAGCCAGTGAAGGTCATTAAATAAGAAGGTTCTCTCCCTGCCCCTCGAACAGAGCTCGTTATTACTTTCTATTCGCCAAGAGTATGAGGGACCCAGTGCATTGCCTCAAGACTGTAGGGCTGATGCCAATAACTGTGTAACAGGATTACTGCTTAGGGTGTCTCTGCAGGCTCCCTGCTTTCCTCACCTCAGGGCCCTTTAAGAACTCCCAAAGGCTTTCTTTGGTTAGCAATACCCCTGCCTTGGACTAATTTAATACCAGAGCCAGTTACAACAGCCTAGAGTCCCAAACCAAACTCCATTCCAACAACACAAAGGAAAAGTCCATACTTAGCTCAGGCATTTTCTCCCACCCCCAGGACTCTTCTTCCGTCCCATTCTGATTTCTCAGCCAGTCCCTCCAGCTCTCCCTCGCTGGGGCTCTGATGTTCAGTCCCAAATGTAGTCAGGGTTTCCTGTCCCCTGCTCACTGGGCTTTGCCATCCAAGTTCTGTGGTGACATGGCCCTGCAGGACTGCCAGAGCATAGCTTCCCCCTCTTATTGCAGCTGCCTTCTGCTCGTCAGAGGGAACTGCCCGATTCCCCTCAGAGGAGCTCATCACATAATCAGGCTCTGCAGACTGGACAAATCACCCTATTACAAGCTGCTTTCTACATCTCAACAGCTTAAAGCAGAAACAATTCTCCAAGGTAAGGGACTCCTCATCTGTGAGCTAACATTACAAAAGCAGAGTGAGGAGAAACTCCCCGCAAACCAGTGACTCCATCCAGACCTGGATGTAGGCTCATTTGCACAGACCTGAGCTGGTGGATGCCACAGACCCCATACGGAGCTGCCCTCTCCCTTCACTAATTTACTCTTTGCCAGCATCTGAAAGTTATAAACAAGGCGCATCTCACACAAAGCACCCTGTGCACGAATACCTCAAACCCATCGTCGTGGTTTGCACAGATCCAGGGGGGCATTTCTCTGAAAGGTGAATGGGCGTCTGCAGAGGAGTTCACTGGTGGCTCTACTCCCGCTTAGGCACAGACCGTTCTGCTCTGCTTGGGCTACGGCCAGCTGAGTAGGTGGGGACTCGATTTTGCTTTCCAGGCTTCAGTTCAGCCCCCATGGATAATCCTGCTGCAGCTGCTGCGGAAGCGGCAGTAGGGATGGTTTCCTGCCTATGTCTCACCAAGCAGGGGTGGGCGAGGCTCTGTGGCCTGCGATGTGCAGGGCGTCAGACTAGATGATCATGATGGGCCCTCTGGGCTTAGGGTCTATGAGCATCCCCAGGGGCTGTTCTTGTCAACGGTTGCTTTGTTCCCCATCTCTACCAAGTGAAAGCAATGAAAACCCGCTGAACGTTCAGTGTCAAGAACATGCAGGGCCATCCCAGGCCCCCCTGCAGTCCAGGGACTGCCCTCTTTGTGAAACCTGAATGGTGACGCCTGGGCAATCTGACAACTCCAAAGCAGATTTCCCTTCCCTGTATTGACACTGGCCAGTGTAAACGGATACGACGTCTCATCACGCATCTCTTGAGGACACACACATCTACTTTTTGGCCTCAGAGTATCACTGTAAGAGTGGGGCTTACTTTACCCCCCTTCCTCGCAAGCTGCTCAGAGGTGCTGCTTCAGATTCAGCCAGTGAGGGCTAGGGCAGCAGAAGCTACCGCATCTGAAAATGGATGGGCAGCCAGAATCCTACAGGACAGGCAACAGCCTGTCTGGGTCACAGAGCATTATTTCCAGTGGCCTGAAGGATGCTTCAAATTTGTGACAAAAGGATCATTTTAGTCTTAGAGACACCGAATTGCAAATTCTCTCTAAAGTTCAACCCTAAGCAACAATGCCCGACGACCATATGCAGATAGGATCCTGTGAATCCTTTGCACATCTCCTGAACACACACAGAACTGGAATCCACGGAACTCACTGCCACAAGATGTCATGGTGGCCAAGATTCAAAGACCGATTGGACATTTATATGGATAACAAGACAATTGAGTTATAATAGTCAATGCTACAAAAAGAGTGCTGGAAGGCCTAAACTAATCTCTAAATATTAGAGACTAGGGTCAGACCTAATGTCGGGGGCAGGTTATCCCATAATTGCCCACTGTGGGATTTCTTGCACCTTCCTTTTATGCATCTGGTGCTGCCCACAGTCACAGCCAGAAGACGGGGCTAGACAGACCATGTGCTGGATCCAGTCTGGCAATTTCTATGTTCCACTATAGCAGAGTTACCTTGTACATAGGGACCTTGACATGAACTTCAAGTTCTACGCCTGCCAGACGGCGGCAGTAAAAGACGCAGCCAAGCAGCCATTTTAACAGTCTGCTGAACCTACTTAGTGTCAAATGAAATAAAAAGATGGGGGTGGGGGAAGGAGGGGCTGGCTTTCTAACTACTTTAGTCCACTCCAGATAAAAGACTACACACATTTCCATATCAAGTTTCTGAAGAAAGGCTGGAGAGGTGATTGACTGATAGAGATGGAACCTCACCATCACCTCCGGAAGGAATCTGGGATGCCTCTTCAAAACTACCTTAACTTTGAAGAACGTGGCAGAAGGCGATTGCTTCCAAGGGCCTGGAACTTGATACACCAAGCTGACGTCACTGCCGCTGGGAAAGTGACCGTCCACTTAAAAAAATCTGAGCTCATAGCTATCAAGTTTTCTATCTGCCAAGAAAAAGCCCCTAGTCTCCTCTGGAACATCCTATCTGATGCCAGGGCAATGAAAGAGCAGATGAGGAGATCTCACCCAGTACTGCTCACTGAGATGGAAGCAGCACAAACAGAGGTGTATCCAACCTCATGAGAACTAGACCTTTGCCCTCTTAGCTGGTATGAGCCTGTGGGTAGGAACTAGGCCCAGTATTGACAAGGATGGTTAATGCTGCCCTTTTGAAGGGCACAATGGCCATGGCCTTAAAGAAACAGTCAGTGGTTTCCATGATCCTTTCACGTCTGGTTTTCATCGTGGGAGTGATGGATGCCGATGCTGATGCAGGTTTTATCAGACCCTACCACTCTGCACCAGTAACTATGAAGTTACTAAACATCTGTAGTGCTCTGGTTCCTCCCTTGCGAGATTCCACAGCCTGCATTTAACAAGCCAAGAAACTGGAGGCTTTTTTGTTTGGTCAGAATCTCAGCTGTGCTGGTTCTATCTACACTGTAAACCATAGTGTTGGGGCCCCAATCACAACACAGCCATCCCCTACCATGGACAACACACAGGTCCATCTTGTGCCGTAGGGGAGACCTTATGCATGTTTTCAACATGTCCTTAAATCTTCCCTAGCCATGAACAGCCGTGCAGCAACAGCTGGGGAAATGTTTAAAACCTACTTACAATCCAGGAGAGAGCCATGTTCTCTGGTCTGAACTGTATTATACATGGGTCCCCCCAACACAGGTTTTTATATAGCGTAGATGGACCTTTCAGTGATACAGGAACATGTATTTTTTAAAAGTGACCTCCCCCCAACTCTAATAGGATGAAATCATGCCCTCCTCCCAGGCCGTGTATCTTAATGAGGCACTTGGCATTAAGAACTCCTGGCGATCATCCCCACTCACTGCAACTGCTCCCTCCTGCTCGGGAACGCGTCTCCAATCTGCCCAGAAATCGGTGACAGCTCACAGGGTTGTACGGACCCACAATCACACTGAAAGCTGCTGCAGACCCCTCAGGATGGGAGCCCTCCTCTCATCCTCCTTTTGGTCTCGTTTTCAAATAGCATCAGAGAAGAAAAAGAGAAACTTCAGCAGGGAAGCTGAGCTCAAGCAAAGAGACACAGAAAATCTGAGCGTTATGGCTGGAGCTTTCTTTGCCTGGCCCCACTCTGGCTGGTCTTGCAGGGTTGGTGGGATGACTCACTATTTGCAGACCCCAATGCCACAGGCCAGGATAAAGACAAAGTCGCCTTTAACTCCCCAGGTTGCCAGTGGATTGATAAGTGTCTCTCACTGCACCAAAACTGAAGTGTTCCAGCTCACCTCACGGGACTTTGGAGCCGTGCAAGGCAAGGGAGAACACCAACGGCCGGCCTGTTTTAGTAACCAACCCATCTCTCTGAATAATCACTAGGGCCAGTGGTTTGTCACAGTAAATGATCTGAAAAGTCTCTGGGCATGGAAAAACAGGATGGGGAAAATCAAGAATGCATAGTTTAAAAAAACCCTTAAAGTTGCAGGTGACATTATTCTAAAGTGTGTTTTAAAACTAATTAAAACCATTTACAGAAAATAGTTTGAAACCATTTACACATCCATTCTCCCGCCTAACAAGAGGCGAGTAGCAGGGGCAGTCACCTCTCTGCCTGCACTGCTTCCCTGCCTTCCCCTTGGCCAAGGCAGCAGCAGAAGCCATGCTGCAAGGATACTTCTTACACCAACTCTGGGAACTCTGTGCCTCTTCCTCCAAAAACCAGAGACCACTATGGAATCCATGGCCTCTCCTCTGATACAACTATATCCCTAATGATGAGAGCACCTAATCCCTCAGCCTCCCTGCAGCCCAGGTTTTAACTCAGCAGCTCTCCCGGCTCTCAGTGAAATGGATTAAACTCCACCTTCTCTCCCCCCAATTCTCCCCCGCAGATTGTCCTAAATCATGAGGTTTTTTTAAAGCCACGAGAGACCCAGAATCTAAGATTCCCATTGACCATAATGCAGCCTTCTTACTTGTCTTGTGAATTTCTATCATATGATGGACTGAAAATCCTAAATGTTCTGCATAGGCAGGAAGGGGAAGATTTCTGGTGGGTCATCCAGCAGCTGGAATCAGAACCCAGGGGTCTTTTCATATAGATACTTCCATGAGAAGTATAAACCTGCCTTTCTCTACTCCGTGGGCTATCGGGGCTATACCCAGCAGCTGTTTTATGTTATTACCAGGAAGAATGGAGAGATCACCTTTATACCAGCACATCCTGGGAAGGTGAGAGTCTATTCTAGGTGAACACAGATTCCATGCTAAATCCACAGCACAATGTTCCTTATTTAAACAAGTACTGGGTTTCCTTGGTTACTGTGTAGAGCATCTGACTGGGGATCCCAGAGCTTTGGTTTACCGAGGATCCATCTATGCTGTAAAACTGACCTAGTGCCAACAATCACCAGTGATGGGTCTCCTCTGATGCCATCTACACCTGTAGTTAAGATCATTTCCTACTCCAGCTGAAGGGTGTCAGGAGAGACCAATTACTGAGGACATCTGTAAACAGTGGGCCAGTTTCCTAGTGTAGATGGGGCCTTAGAACATTAATTCTGTGAAAGTGGGTGACAGAGATGACCTGTGCTTCCATACCTTGCACCACTGTCCTCGAAATTATCTCAATACTCCAGAAAATTTGTAATGAAACTGGCAAGCTGTTAAGAGCCAACTACTTTTGACCTTCCTTAAAAGTACAGAAGCCCGGTGGACAGTGTCTCCAGTTCATTGTGGATAAAAATTACATCCACTCCATTAATAAAATAATAACAATAATAATTCAAAACCTAATTACAACAACCGCAATTTTGGTGAGCTATTGAAGAAACAAGGTGTTAGCTCCCCCTGCTGGCTACAGGTGAGCAGTTAATCAAAAGCTAATTCCAGAGCCATGCACACCCATCCTCCACTGATAGTCATTATGGACAGAGATGAGAGCAAAACAGCACCCACATTGGCTTCTAGCCATTAAAATAAAAATACAGTGCAGGGCAAAAACTGGGAAAGGAACATATGGATGAAAGTGGAAGTGTCCGAACCAGCCCCCAAACTCTGCCAGAACGAATGTAATTAGAATTTCCCAGGACTATTTCACTAGAAGTTTACATATGAGCTCCATATAGTTGCTGTTCATGACCTCTCCTTCATCTGATAGCTCTGCCCTTCAGAGTCCAGATTTCAGTGTCTCTAGTAGGCTTTCAAGCGGCGCTGCAGCAGCTCCCTGGCACAAACATTTTATCGGCCCTGTGATTTAGCAGCAAACTGCCCAAGTCATTTTCATAATTTCAAAAACCATTTTGAACTCACTGTCTGTAACAGTTTCTTGGGAGCTTGTAAGAAAACCTGTTTCCTCACAGCATGCATGCTCATTTGTTATTTAGTGCAGCTTAGGAGAGCTTGGCTGTGGCCGCTGGTTTGTTACTGTATGGTTGCCTGGGAGAGCAGGCGGTAATTTGTACAGGAGTGTGCTTGTGTATATAAAGACGGAGTACGGAGCTTGTTATTTAAAAAAATGGACCCCAAAAATGGCACTGATTTTGCAGACAGATGGTAAAAAGATCAGTCAAATTATGGATCTTCCTAACTTTAACAGCATCTCTTTAAGAAATGGTTTCATCTCTGCTTTACAACATTGTGGTCAGCACACCTTCAGCTGCCTGAGAGCCATATGCACACTGGGTGCAATGGAAGAATCCATCAGACCGGCTTCTTTCCACTATGCCCCTAAAGTCAATTACCAACCATTGTAAATCATACTCTGTAATGAAACAGATCTCCAGCAGGATACTCACTAATTGGTGCATGCAACGCCACATGTTCCTGGTAGGGAGTGTAATATTTGTACTGCTTGCCACAGAATTCACATGTATAATTGCCAGTTTCTGTGAAGATGAAACAAAGACTCGGTAAGAAAGGAACCCAGCATCACCTCGCATAATTACTTTCTTTCTTACTTTTTATGTGTGAACTTGGTGCTTGATAAAAAGAAATCGCGTGATTCATAGTCCTTCATTCAGACAGGGAGCGTTTCAAGCAAGCATTGAGAACCACTTTCACAAAGGGAGGTGAAGCACTGTGATCTGCACCCACAACCTGCAACCTTTTACTCCTACAGATGGGAAAATTAAACCCCAGATGCTACAGTGGTGGACTCAGTACAACCATCCCAATAGCTCTGAACAGCACAGAAGGTACTCACAGGTTAAGTGAGCTGCCAAAAATCAGACAACGAATCAGATGCAAGACAAGGGCAAGAATCCCAGTCTCCTGACTCCCTGTCGCAGGCAGGAACCAGTGGTCCATGCTGTCTCTCTCTATGCCGCGGCAATGGCTATATGCAGCCAGTGATGGATGAACCACTGAATGTTCAAATAAGCACCCAGAAGTGCAAGTTTTGATTCATATTTCCAGAACTTATTGGGATTGTAAAACTGGGCTGGAAATCTCAGGAGAAAGGGCTTTCTTGCAAGACCTGTGGTACTTGCTGTGTCTGTTGGTGCTGCAAATAGCACAGAAATGTCTCGGTATTTTAGTACTATCCCTTCCAGCCAGAGCCAGAGAGATCAGACCAGGGCAGAACCGCAAACACGGGAAAATGATAAACATGTTAACCCAACATTTTCAAATTTAAAAGGTTCAGCATGAAGTTTGGTCAAAGTCTGGTCATTTCTTTGTTTTATCCGCATTGGTTTGCCCATCTGACAAGCAGGCAGTGTCCTCCAGTCAGCTCTGCCAAGGTACCTCAACTCCTAACCTGCAACTGGGATAAACTCTACCAAACTTCCTTTCAGCTGTGACCTAATCCTGGATTTGAGCACACACTGCCAAGGTGAAAGGTGAGTGCACTCATCCATGCCAACCCCCTCACCACAGAACACCATACCATACTTTATTAAAACGCACACAAGAAGGGGATTTGCATTAAGAACAAACTCAATTTCCTGGACACTTAAACATGTAAAGAAGGGAACTTCTGTAGATGTTTAAAATACATTTCTCAGTTTACGTGGCTGCTGGGTTTCCTGTTTATTAGAAACGAGATGCATCCCGCAACAACTTTCAAGTTTCAGCATCTTCACGTAAGCGTATTGATCTCCCATTGTTATCCAGGAGGAACCCTTAGCCAGAGCCAGGTTTGGAACCTTATGCTATGTTTTATGACTTCCAAAACTGTATTATAGCTCATACTTGGACCAATCTTCTGAAATGGTTCTGGCTCCTCCTCTTTCACTTCATCTGCTGCTATGACTGTCTGGTCATACGGGTCTGCAAAAGAACAAAACCAGCAGAGAGCTGACAACACCCCAAGGCTTTCTGTACACAGTTACAAGCACTGAATGCACTGGCCCGTGCAGTTACATTTCTATCTGACACAGGATTCCAAAGCACAATGTTCAAATTTCCCTCTTTCAGTCCCTCTCACTTACCATCCCTCATGCCCACCCAGATATTAACCCCTTCTAGCACAATAATATGATTTGAAGATAAATCAAAAATCAGAGAAAGATTGCACAAATTTCAAAGCTTGATTTATATTTTCTGTCTTCCACTGCACCCCTCCCCCGAAACTAAATGTTTTACCCTGTTTGAAACTGGGCATAGTAATGCAGTATACATTCAGCAAACACTGGGCTAGATGGACCTTTGGTCTAACCCAGTACGGCCGTTCTTATGTTCACTGACCAATGAGGTTAAGCTGTGCCATCTAATGGCACAGCTTGTAGCCAATCAGAACCCAACCCATCTTATGAAGTAATTTCATTTATGCCACAAGCAATTTCAAAATGACTAAAACACTTATCGTTTGTTTCTCTGATTTTCACAAGTCTAGATCAAATGCATATGCAACAAAAGCCTGGTATCTAATAGGGCTGGGCATCATGCTACTGGCTGTACGTAACATTGCTACGCACTGAGAGACCGAGCTGGCGCCCACTGAAGTCAAGGACAAAATGCCATTGGCTTCCGTGAGTGCAGAACTGGGCTTATTGTGCCTGGGAACTACTGAATGCTTGTAAAGGTCTGTGAAATAAAGCACACAAAGGATCTCTGCTTACCTGCCCGGTTTTCTGGGGCCCCTTCCACACTAAAAACTAACACAGAATAGAAGAAGGGGTGGGGGGGGAAACAAAACAGAAATTAAATCCTCTTAAATGGCCTTGTTTTACTCCTGTATTTCATCCACAGGGTCAATGCAGTTCAGCACCACAGAATAAGCCAGGCTCCCTTCTCCCATCCCTCATCTCCCAGGCAGCAGTCACACAGGGAAATACTTGAGCATGCCCAGCCCTAGTGTACATAGATCCTCAAGGCCTTTGTTAGAACACACTAACATAAATGCACAGCTGCCTCGCACCCGTGTCTACTGAAACACAACCAATCACTCAGAGGCATCCAAGCAAGCGGTGTCTTAGAGAAACACAAGTGGCAGCCATTTTAGAAGCTTCAGCTTCCTTATTAGCTTTGAACTAGAGTGATGACGACACAGTTCAAGTAGAAGCAGATAGGCTGGACTAGATGACCTCCTGAGGTCTCTTCCAACCCCAATCTTCTATGATTCTATGTGTAGCCTATCTTTCAATCCCAGTGACTTAATGTCTATGACCCCACATGAAGGACGGAGAATCCAGCACCATTACACGGTGCTGGGGAATGCCAACCGACCTTAATGCTAGTCTCGGGGTTCCAAAATTTCCATCAAAAACAGAAAATGTTTTTTTGACAAAATTTCTTGTGAAAAACACTGGGGCAGTACTGGTCATGGGTCCTGGCCACGAGTAATCTGCTTCATTGGAGCAGCCTATTGCCTGCTGCACTTCCTGGCTGAGTAAAGTGCAGCACTGACAGCTCTATCTGCCATGAGGAGGAGCTTGGCGAGGGTAAATAGGGGAGCAAACACATACAAATAATGTAAAAAATCCTTAATATCGTTGAAGTGAAACCGCCGCCAGTTGTTCTAGGCTGCCAGCATTCACACTGAAACAATTCAACGTGTTTACACTGGAAAACAGTCCTTTAAAGCAGAGCTGTGGGAAGAACTGATTTTTTCAACTCACTGGCAGTTCTGGAAAAAAAATCTCATTCTGGGACTGAAAGGAACCGGGATGGAATCTTCAGCAAATCAAAAAATCATGTCACTTAAAACACAGAACATTTTGGTTTTAGGCACCATTCACAAAGGAGAGGAGAACAGCCCAGTAGCGTGGACACTCATTTGTGATGGGGGAGACCCAGATTGAAATCACTGCTCTGGGGCCGGGTCTTTGTATAAATAATCCCAGTTCTGCAGCAAGGACTTGAACTCGCGTCCCCCACATCCCACGCGAGTGCCCTACCCACCAGGTGTTAGGCTGAAGTAGACCTTCCCTCAGTCCCTTTATGAATTTCACCAGGAAAATAAAGTTGTTTCCTTTCAGAAATGTCAAAACCAACCGTTCTGACATTTCCAAAAAAGATTTTTTTTCAACCAAACCAATTTGCCAAAATTGACACAAATTCTCAAAGTATTTTTTTGGACCCGAATCTGCATTTTTTCAGTGAAAAAAGTTTTGCCGAGATTTCCTTTGAAGTCCACTGGCTCAGACATAGACACATCAGTTCAGAACTGCATTGGCTGGCAAGTCTACCTGCATTTGGAGCTCTGTAATGATCCCACAGAGAGCCATGCTAAAATTGGGTCCTCTGAGGTCAGAAACCAGACACAATACGACTTTGCCTAGCCAAGGGCTAGACTGGCAACTTATCTTGAGGCCCAGAGCTATAACAAATCTGTAGTGATCCTCAACTTTACTATGAAGACATGGCTTGCTGAGACTGCAGGTCCCAGTGTGAGGGTGCTATCACGATCCAAACAGGTTGAAGCAGAGCAGGTTAGGACCCGATTTCTTTGAGCTTCGTGTTAAGGTTGTGTGCCATTGTAAGACCCCATGGCAGCATTTTGCCCATGAATCACACTTTGTCTAACCCCACATAAAACAATCACTATTTCCCAGCCCAATCTGACAAGGTGCTGAAGCAGTACTCACCATCCACCGCATGCAGGTCTCTGTGCTCTTGGAAACAGCTGTAGTATTTATATTTTTTCCCACAAATGTCACATGTGTACCTAAAATTGTCTGTAGGAAGAAGGAACAAATTCCTTTTAGAAACATTGGGGTGAAAGGCAAGAGCTCCAATGGACATTTCTGAATCACAGGATCCATCCATTCACCCCCATTTCCCCCAGACTCTCTCTCAAATGGCTTACCCATTGGAGCAATCACTGCTTCACACCTACCCAGGTGTGCATCATACACTCTAACTTCAGACATATCTCATGAGTTTTAGTCATAGGAAAAGCCGGACAGTTCAGCTGTCCAATAAAACCTGTATAGGACCCACGCAGCACTGGAGAGGGGCCAGAACAAGCATGCAGGTCCACAGCTGCCACTCCAGCTGAAACTGGCCCAAGAAGGCTGTTCTGGGGTCTCCTCAGGGCAGTTGTAGGTCACGACTGAGGTGCACTGGCAGAGCTGTGCAAGGACCCAACACTTGAATACTGAAGAGTTGTTGGAGAACATTGACAATACATTGACTAAGCTAGGCATGGTGTCAATGTGCATATGGGGTAATTTCACAAGCACTATGCACATTAATATGGGGGGGGGACAGGGAGGACCACCCCCACCCTGTAAAGTGTAGTTCCTCTGTCACAGTGACTGCGACAAGGGCGCAGTCATACTCCACAGATCTGTTCCTGGGGCATCTGTCAGATCTACTGGCTGTAGCAACAAAGACCTTTTTCTGCTGTTTACACCTCTTGTTAGTTCTGCAGAGCCAGCACAGCTGAGGGCTGGTATCACGAGCCTGCTGACGCTTGTTTACCCAGGACCCATGAAGCCAGGTCCCAGTTGGAGGCTCTGCCCTGGCGGTCCTATTGGTGGAGTCCCAGAGCAGCTGACTGGCTCGCTAGCCCTACTCAAGCCAGCGGCGGGAACAGGCTGTCTGAACTGGGTTCCACCCTGTTCTAAACTGTGCGCCTTGCGGCTCCCACGGCTTGAGTTCCTGGCATCCTGACCCGGGGTGACTCCTAGCATCCGATCCGTGCTTCTGACCCCGGTATCCTGACCCTGCCGCCTCCTGTCTTGTGACCCTGGACTCTGGGTCTGTCTGCCCGTGACCCGGCCGCGACAGCTGGTTTGGACCACAATTACCTTGAGGGAGCGAGCTTGGTGCGAGGATGGACCCAGCAGCACCACTGCAGCCACTAGAAGCATCAGACTCGCCCGGATGTGCCCTCGGCCTCCAGGCAGATAATCAAGCACTGAAGGCCCAAGTTGCCCAGCTGACCTCGGATAATCAGCGGCTGCAGGAGCAAGCGAGGCAGCTCAGCACTGAGAATACCGTGCTGCGCACACAGTGCAGAGAGCCTTGCAATACTATTGCCCCAGCAGTTCCGGTGCTGCATGAACCATGCCAGCTTCTGATATGTCCCCAAATCCATCCCTCTCACCAGGCCCTGATAATCAGCCTGCTGACAGGAGACTGTCCCCTGCAGGCCATTATTCAGGGACACAGAGAAATAACACAGTTTGGTATGATCCATTCCCCGCATTGTCCCCTGACCCTTGGCATCTCCTGGCTGACCCTTCATAATCCCCTCATTCACTGACGAGAACAGAAAGTCACCGTCCCATCAGAGCTCTGCTGACAGCAGGGCCGGGACCCGCAGACATTGCACCCAGACCCAAGAAGGCTCAAGTAGGTGTAGCTGCCCACACTGAAGCACCCACGGGAGGAACTATGGAACTCCCCCGCCCCAAGCGCCATATCTACGCTGATGTCTTTGAGAAGAAGAATGCAGAAAACCTCCCCCTGCACTGGGACTAGGACTGCCCCGTAGAACTTCAGCCGGGCGATGATATCACTTGGATGGATATACACAATGTTAGAGCCTGAACTGACGGTATTGTGAGAATATCTCCAAGGGAACCTGGCCCGGGGGCTCATCTGCAAATCAACTTCACCAGCCAGCACCCCGGTCCTTTTCATAAAAAGGAAGGATGGAAGCCGCCGCCTCTGTGTTAATTACCCAGCCCTAAAGCAGGTAATAATCTGGAACCGTTATCCACTACCCCGATCCCTGAGTTACTGGACCTTGTGGGGCTACCTGCATATTCATGCAACTGGATCTCCAGGGTGCTTACAATCACCTCTGGATTTGATAGGGGGATGAATGGAAGACGGCCTTTCGGACGGGCTATGGCCCCTTTGAATATTTAGTTATGCCGTTCAGACTGACGCACCAGCAACGTTCCAGCACTTTATCAGCAACATGCTCCGAGACCTACTGGGCCAGTTTGTGGCACTTAGACAACATACTGATCTTCTCAGACGAACTGGCCCAACACATCACACATGGCCATACAGTCCTGGGGAGACGATGACAACACAGTCTCTACACTAACTTGGAGAAGTGCTCATTTGATCAGACTTCAGCTGAGTTCCTGGGATTCATCCTGTCCCCGGAAGGAATCAAGATGGATCTGCACAAGGTCCAGGCAGTCCGCAACTGGGCAGCCCCTCACAATGTGTGTGACCTTCAATGTTTTTTAGGCTTCGCAAACTTCTACCGCAGGTTCATTTAGAATCTTTCAAAACAAGCCGAGCCCCTCACTGTCCTACTCTGAAAAAATGCCAAGTTTCATTGGTCACCCAAGGCCCAGCATGAAGCTCTGAATTGAATCTTGCTTTCACCACTGCTCCAGTATTGGCCCACCCCAACATGGCACAAGCTTTTGTTATGGAAGTTGATACCTCTAGTACGGTGATCAGAGCAGTGCTCTCCCAAAGGCATGGACCCAAGCAAATGCTGCACCCTATCGCCTACTACTCAAGGAAGCTTACACCTGCTGAGTGAAACTAGGAGATCTTGGGCAAGGAGCTCCTGGCAATTAAGACCGCCTTCAAAGAGTCATGACACTACTTGGAAGGGACCTGTCATCCGGTCCAAGTGTTTACAGACCACAAGAATCTGGAGTACCTGTGCAGGGCCAAGGCCCTGAACCAACCACAGGTCCAATAGGCCCTATTCTTTTCCCAGTTCAACTTTACCTTGATCTACCACCCTAGAACCAGGAACAGCAAGGACAATGCCTTGTCCCAAAGATATGGCTCCGAGCCACAAGGCCCCAGTCTGGAACCAGCCCACATTCTCAAGTGCCATAACTTTCGTAATGTGACTCACCGCCAGGACCTGCTTGCGCTCATCCGCTCTGTCTCCATCTCCGTAATTCCACCTAACAAGTTGGCCATTGTTAACTGAGAACTACATGACACCTGGGAGGGGATCACATTTGTGAGAGACAGTGGTAGGTCAATGGAACAATTCTGCTGTCGACCTAACCTAGCTACTGCCTCTCAGGAAGGTGGATTACCTACAACGATGGAGAACCCCTCCCTCATGAGTGTAGGTAGTATCTACACTGAAGTGCTACAGTGATGCAACTTCAACTCCTTCCTAGCACTGAGGAATTAATCTGAGAAAGGACTGAGCAGAATCTGCTCCATGAGGAGAATACATTGGCTTGGATATGTTTAAGTGATAAGTGCATAATTCCAGAAGAGGAGGAGAAACTAGTATGCTGCAAAGGGGCTAAGGGGAGGGAGGGAATGAAAGGCAGGTTATAACATGAAGCCTCTCAGCCTAGGCAGGAAACTGAAATGCAAAGATGATGACTTAGCCTGCAAGCAACGCACAGGGGCAGTTCCAGAAGACTGGACAAAAGCTAATGTTGTGCCAATTTTTAAAAAGGGTAAACAGGATGACCTGGGTAATTGCAGGCCTGTCAGTCTGACATCAATCCCAGGCAAGATAATGGAGCGGCTGATAACAGGACTTGATTAATAAAGAATTAAAGGGGGGCAATGTAATTAATGCAAATCAACATGGGTTTATGGAAAATAGATCCTGTCAAACTCACAGGATCTTTTTTTGATGAGATTACAAAGTTTGGTTGATAAAAGTAATAGTGATGATATAATACATTTAGACTTCTGTAAGGTGTTTGACTTGGTACTACACAACATTTTGATTAAAAAACTAGAATGATATAAAATTAACATGGGATTCGTTAAATGGATTAAAACTGGCTAACCAAGAGGTCTCAAAATGTAATTGAAAATGGAGACTTGACATCAAGCAATGTGTTTCCAGTGGGATCCCGCAGGTATCGGTTCTTGGCCTTACCCTATTTAACATTTTTATCAATGACCTCGAAGAAACCATAAAATCATCACTGACAAAGTTTGCAGATGACACAAAAATTAGGAGAGTGGAACAGGATAGACCACAGATTCAGAGTGATCTGGACCTTTTGGTAAACTGGGGGCAAGCAAACACTATGCATTTTAATACGGTTAAAATATATATATATATAGGAACAAAGACTGTAGGCCATACTTACAAGATGGGGGACTTTATCTTGGGAATCAATGACTCAGAAAAAGATTTGGGGGTCATCATGGCTGATCAGCAGAACGTCAGCTCCCAGTTTAACACTGTGGCCAAAAGGGCTAATGCGATCCCTGGATGCATGAAGAGGGGAATCTCAAGTAGGAGTAGAGCGGTTATTTTTCTTCTGTATTTGGCACTGGTGCAACTGCTGCTGGAATCCTGTGTCCAGTTCTGGTGCCCATAATTTCAGAAGGACGGTGATAAATTGGAGAGGGGTCAGAGAAGAGCCACGAGAATGATAAAAGGATTGGAAAACCTGCTGTATAGTGAGAGACTCAAACAGCTCAATCTATTTAGCTTAACAAAGAGAAGGTTAAGGGGTGACTTAATTACAGTCTATATGAACCTAGATAGGGAACAAATATTTAATAATGAGCTCTTCAATCCAGCAGAGAAAAGTATGACATGATCCAAGTGCTGGAAGTTGAAGCTAGACAAATTCACACTGGTAATAAGGTGTTAATTTTTGAGAGAGAGAGAGAGAGAGAGAGTGTAATTAACCATTGGAACAATGTACCAAAGGTTGTGGTGGATTTTCCATAACTGACCATTTTTAAATTAAGATGGGATGTTTTTCTAATAGCTCTGCTCTGGGAATTATTTGGGGAGGTTTTAGGGCCT